CCCGACCATGTAGTTGAGGCTCTACAGTCGCGATGCCTTCCCCCATTGTTGCTCCCGCACCTGATGCATGCTCCCTATGCACTTTGGAATTGGCAATACCGTTGAAGTCGTTGCGAGTGGTTACATCTGCATTCAAGTCGGACGGATTTTGATTCCAACCTGGATGATCCAGAGTGTCATCGGTTCGCGAGGGGCAGTTCATCGTGGTTGTGAACCGGGTGTTTGCGTAAAGCTATAAAGAAGGGAACAACGTGGTCAGCTGCAGAAAATTCTCCGTGAAGTACTTGTGATGTATTCTAAGTCGTAAGTAGCACGTCGAAAACCAAGTCAAGAGAAATGTGCGGGAACGAAAACCCGAAATTCCCCGGCTACGGTAGTGCCAGTGCGACACATCCAAAGTGGGCACATGCAGTGAGAAGACGGGCCAGGCCAGTTGGTTCCTCAATGATCAAATAGAACCACAATTAGTGAGTTCTTCAACCGGATTGGGAAGTGTGTGAAAGAGGGAGGATAACAAGATCAATCTGTGGCCATGACGGCATCTTGACTAGCTGGAGTGAGACACGGGTCGATCTTATTCACCATGTACATGTGGGAAGACTGAATACGAAAGATCATTCTCCGTTAAAATTTACCTGACTACGCAAGAGGAGTAAGAGATCCAGATCAACTGAGGAACGATTTTTATATATAGATCTAGAGACACCTTTAAAATGTGTAACCCCCACGGGCCCAAGCCTTTCCAAGAAAGCGGATCTGCCTTGGCAGGAATTTATGCTCACTGTGAAAGACCCCGTGACCTGGAGGCTTATCTAATCACATTGTTCGCTTTCCCCTTGCACAGTGTTCATGTATGCTCTCTTCAATTATTGGAACCTGGATACAATAATTGATTTCTTGGCCAGCACAGAGGAGTGACTCCTATTTCGTTATTCGCTATTCCCAGCTGGCTTCCAACCGTCTCATTTTTTTTTCCATGTGGAGACACCAACACGCGATGTATTCATCTTGCATTGCTAGGTTCGATCATTCAAGATCTGAGAAAAGAGAAAAGCAAAGAAAAACTGCTGCATCACATTTGGTATCTATCATCGATACTACATTGTATGATGATTCCCCAATGATGACAAGAAGGAGAGCAAAGATATCCACTTTTACATTGAATTGATGGGAACTCATTCTGCATACATCACAAAATCAGAGCGATCAATCAGCTGATCAGAACTGATTGATAATCGATAAGCACCCGCCACCAGCAACAACCAGCCACCTGGTTGCCTGGCAACCCCATTGACGGGAATGTGTTTACATCCTCCGCTTTCTCTGCACTGCAGCTCCAGCCGTTTGCCACGAACACCATTGACGAATTAATTTAGGCTGGGGGTAAGGATGATCATGCCCTTTACTTTCCTCCGTCGCTACGGAAGACTTCAAATTCCCGGTCTGCCCACCTGTTGTCCACTACTGCAGTGATCGTTGTGACCGTTGTCTGATTCTCGCGGGCGTTTTTTTTTCTTCTTGGTTGCCTTCTTGCTTTTGATGATTACTATTCTCCAATGCCTTTACTTTTTGTCTGAATACATATTGTTGTCTTTCCTGCTCCACTTAATACTTTTGTATCCGCTTCTTCTTCTTCCGTCTATAAATACCTTGTATATTGGTGGTTGCGTTGGAGCGCTGTCCCCGTAAGTCCTCTATACCCACCCTTCACTATGTCGATACCACCAGAATGTTGTTTTTGATCAACATGCTAACTTCTCGTCCGTCATTCTTACAGATTCGGGTTAAAGGCGATTAAGCATGGCTCCCAACATGCAAGGTCCCAATATTTTCGACGATGCTAGCCGTGTCCCGACCAAACCATCCGTCTTCCGAGGAATCTTGTCTTCCAAAGGTCACAAGAGAAACCCCTCCGCAGACGACGCCGCCACCTCTTACAAATATCCCTACCAGAGCCAGCCTCCTCGCAGTACATTCTGGTCTCCAGTGGATCAGGCCTATGCCACCCAGGGCCAGCAGCCATTGACCGAAATTGCTCCGAATCGAGACGCCGCAGAGTATGGCTTACCTCGACAGAGCTCTCCTGGTAAGCAGGAAAAGAATACGTTACACAAGAAGACGAAAAGTGCTGTGTCCCTGAAGTCTCTAAGGAGCTACATGGAGCGCAAAGACAACCGATCAGAGTCTCCCGAGAACGAGACCCAAGATTTGAAACCGAAGAAGGCTAAATCAGCCAACAGTCTCTCAGCAATCTTGAAGCGGTCTCAGCGCGGAAGAAAGACTGAGAACTCGAAGAGTGGCCGGGATAAAGAAAATCGGAGCCCGACGGACTTAGTCGACAATATGCCATCACCTATATGGAACCAATACACGACAGGGTCATACTATGACCAGATTCCAGTACCACCCTCCCCCTCCAACCGTAGAACCTTCCAAGAAGAGGTCTCACTTTACACCCCCAAGGGGTATGGACCGGCCCAACAGCGTAACTTTTGGGACTATCATCAGCCCTCTCTCACAAACCGCGCCAACCCTAAGCCTCGTCCGAAATCAGAGTTCCTTTCTGGCAATCGCAAGGTGCGAGAGCTGTTTGGATCACTGCAGAACATGTCCTCAGAGAAGCTTTCGCCCTCTGACCCATCAGAACCCTCCTCTCCCTCTAAACGAAGGGGACGGCCTCGGGCACTATCCAAGCCTGAATCGCGCCACACTGCTGAGCAGCAAACAGAACAAAGCCCAAAGAAATCATCGCGTGTTCAGGCAGCCATATCCGCCTTCAATGCGAAAGAGCGAGAAGCGGAACTGCAGAGACGCTTGAACTCGAAGGACCTCGAGAGTGAGTTCGAGAAGCTTCTGGTCAGTACATCCACAAGACTCCTGTCCCTTAAGAAGGAGGGTGTAAACGGAAGAATAGAATAAAAGGATACAGCTAACGTGATTCCAGGATGCAAGAAACATTCCTCATAATATGAGGGACAAGATGAGGTCCTTAGACACTAATATCAAAGCGGACTTTATTCAAAAGGACAAAGCAGAAAGTGCTCATAGTACCAGTATAAGCGTGCACACCAACGACAGTACAGGTCGCCGAGGTCGCAAAAAGGAGCAGAAAGAAGACCAACACAATAACGACAGTAAAGGGTCACGGTCGCGATCCAGAAGTCGCGGGTTCAGCTTTTCCAAGGGCTCATCTCCCACGAAGAAACGGCCGGAGAGCGGAAGTTCCCATCGGCGTCCAAAATCTGCTGATTTTTCACAGCCAGGGCTCTCAAAGTTATTGACACCGTCAACTTCTACGACCTCTCTCTCTGCGACAGCCTGCCAGGATACTGCAGCTGATCCCTCAGACTTTGTTCATTATCTGAGGGAGATCCAGAAGCCGGAGATGATGGAAGTGGGAAAAATCCATAAACTTCGACTTCTCTTGCGGAATGAAACAATCAGCTGGGTTCATACATTTATTGCAGATGGAGGTATGGACGAAATTATACAATTGCTTTACAGGATCATGAAGGTTGAGTGGAGGTATGCAGGCCCCTGGTCTGCCTTTACCTGAAAAAGAATGTGCCCGCTAACACTTCTACAGGGAAGAACATGAGGACAATTTGCTCCACGAAACATTGTTGTGCTTGAAGGCGCTCTGCACGACCTCCATTGCATTAGAGCGTCTTACAGCTATTGAAGGAGAAATCTTCCCAGCGCTTCTGAAGATGTTGTTTGACGAGGAAAAGAAAGGACCGAGCGAATACACAACGCGGAGTATCATTATCAATCTTCTCTTCACGCAACTTTCCACAGCATCGTCAACTGAGGATGCCGGATCTCGTGCCACCCGAATCTTGTCGTACTTGCGAGACCCTTCACCGCCTGAAGAAAACCAACCCCTTGCGTTTATTGCAAACATATACCAATCACGTCCGTACCGTGTATGGTGTAAAGAGGTTACCAACGTAACCAAAGAAGTCTTCTGGATATTCCTGCATCACTTAAACGTGATACCGATTGTGAAAAGTGAGCAACCAGGTTTGGAAACTTATCGAGAGAGGCATTTCCCAGCTCCCAGACCTCCGGTACCTGCTGCACCCTATGTGGGTGGCGTTGAATGGGATGCAACCAATTATCTAGCTGCGCATCTAGATCTTTTGAATGGACTTGTGGCATCCTTGCCGTCAGCGGAGGAGCGTAACAAACTGCGTGACGAACTCAGAGCTTCTGGATTCGAGAAGGTTATGGGTGGCAACTTGAGAACATGCAAAGAGAAGTTTTATGCCTCAGTCCACGATTGTTTGCGGACATGGGTTACTGCTGCTGTGGAAGATGGCTGGCCTTATACAGCTGTCCGCGAAGGTCCACCTCGGCCTGAGCCCGGATCACCTACCAAATCCCCGATCAAAGCGGCCGGTGGGAGCCCGAAGAAGGGTCTTCTGGATGAGAGGCCTCCTCGACTGGAGTTGGCATTGGATGGTCCTGCTAATAACCGGGTAACTCCGAAGAATGAAGGCCTAGGAAATTGGCTGTGAAGGCTTATCAAAAAAAAAATTCTTCAATGGCGGGTTGTATATATTGCTATTTGGCCCGTGTTCTTCGCCTTCACTGCTGTGTCTTGGCCAAGTGTTCCATCCATCCTCATGGACGTGTGCGCCTGACCCAGTGATGCGGCTAGTACTTCCTTTTCTTCTTCCCCCGTTTCTTATTTGCTACCTTTTTGGCTTTTTACTCTTTTTCTACATTTCTATTCTTGGTTCACTTGGTTCACTTCCCTCCCATTATGATGGAGTCTTGGGCAGGACGGCGTTGGTTTTTTTTACTATTTTTTGCTTTTGGAGTTTTGGGTGCATTTCCCGTTAACGGCCACGGCGAAACGATTTAATGAAGGAACGGAGCGATAACATTGACGAGATTTGACGTTCCTGCGCAAATGCTTGTAAGGCGAGATTCGTTTTTTCATTCCTTTGCACAGACATGTTATAGTCCAGAACACTTTGGTACGACAGTTAAGATGAATTGCTATCGTTTAGTAGATCTTCCACGGTATCCGATTACTTGCCCTGAATTGGTCTATCTGGCAGTTTCTAAGAATGGTGGAGTAATATACAGTATGTCACAATAGAAAGAAGGCAAGTCCACGGAGATACCCAAGCCATTCCTGGTGTATATCAGCTATCATCCGACCTCTTGACCGGTCCTGGAGGTGGAGGGGTAGAAAATGCCCCCTTGACACCGGCAAAGAAAACCCTTCGAAGCTAAAAGAGATCCCCGGGTTAGAAAATATCCCCTAATCGAGAGCCCGACAGCATCATCAGACAGGGCACCTACCTCATCAAACGGGCTCCCCCTCTCATCCCACTCCATAAACAGCGCGGCATACACAATAACGACTGCCAGCATCTGTCAGCTCACAAACTTCGATAATGATAATATTCAAGTCAGCACTGTAGAGCACTTACATCCGATTACACCCCACTGAACCAACTTCGTCGCCTTCACCCACTTCGGTCGCGCAAACTTAAGTGCCGCACGCCGACGATATTTGCGCTCGAGTCGGAACTGGTGTTTCGGCGACAACTTGGACATGTCTGGGGGCCATTGGCGCTTGGGCTTGTAAGGACTGTAGTAGGGCATGGGTTCGCCGTTGGGGTACTCTTCGGGAGATGGAGGGTGGTCATTTTGGGCGGTGGTATTGTTGTTCGAGGATAGGCGGAAAGGAGAGGAATAGGTGGGAGTTGTTTGCGAGAATGGTCGGGTGTGTGTCAGTGCAGAGGCATTCTGATGATTAGACATTTTCGTTAGCTTTGCGCGCGGGGTTGGTGTTCTCTGGCTACAATGGGGTATATACATGAGGTGAGGGCTGGAGACGGTTGAGGAGACTGGTGTTGCATGATGCGACAATTCGAGGGGGCGATGCGGATGGTATAGATGCCGGGAGTCGGCGTAGGAGGAATGTCGAGGACATGTCGATAATCGCGGTGGCCGTATACAGTGATATATGCGGCCAGGAACAAGGTACTGACTGATTGTTAAGGCGGAGAAAAAAAGGTTGTTGTCTGGGGGTGCAATTCCGCCGCCCAGACTCTTCCGCTCTCGGGCTTAATGGTGGAGCGCAACCTAAAGTCCGGGCTGGCCTCAGGAACTGCTGGCAGGTTTGTAACCTCCATGGATCTCGACTAGATATATCTTTTAGGTAGCAACTATGACCTGAAAAAAGGCCCTGTGTCTCTGGTCAATGATAACTACTGGCTATTATTAACTATTACGCTCGAATTACTATACTATGAGGTTTTTGTGGAGAAATGCTCAGTCAGAGCAAAATTATTTGCATTGCGATACGGTCAATATCTTAGTTATGTCTTTCTTGAAGGAGATATATACATTTTCAAGTAGCAAGTCTACACTGCTGATGGGATACTCACATATTATGTAAAAGGATAGAGCTTGACTAACCCCAAATGCAAGCATTGTCTTCACAGTTGGCGAAGGTGTGGAGAGAAGATCCATGAAGCTCGGCTTTACCCATATACAGCATCATTGTCACAAGATCAAATGCATAGGAACAGGACGATCATTCGGACTTTCTTCTTCACATGAAAACCTCCCGTGGCCTGGAAATCCCGTGACTGGAATTCCCCCGGAACAACGATGACGCGGGTGAGCCTCGGTACTTTCACAGGACCGGGGAAGAGCATACAAAAAGGCAACAGGACCGACCGACCAAGTGGATTCTACTCCACGTTGTCTCCCCAGGTACACGATATAAAAAGGGATCTTGTCACTTCCATTCTCTTTATCCCCTACTGTTTATTTGATTGTCGATACCCCTTTCATCCTTCCTTTGTATCTTCTCAAACTACACTGACGTCATAATGTCCTCTGGTAAGTTGATCCTCTTGTTACTCACTAAATCAATATGATAATATGGCCTAACGTATGTCCTCTTTTTTGTTCCAGCTCAGCAACGTCTTACCCAGGTGACTTCCCACTTCGCCCCTGGTGGCAAGAAGGGCGTCGCCGCCATCACCGAGAAGCACCCCGATGACATTGTCGTGACATGTGCCCTTCGTTCTGCCCTCACCAAGGGTGGAAAGGGTGGCTTCAAGGATACTGCGGCCGCTGATATCCTGGCTGGCGTTTTCAAGGGTGTTATTGAGAAGAGCGGTATCGACCCCAACGTCGTCGAGGATGTTGCTGTCGGCTCCGTCCTTGCCCCTGGTGGCGGTGCCACCGAGTTCCGTGCTGCTGCCCTGGTTGCTGGTTTCCCCGATACTACTGCTGTCAAGAGCTTGAACCGCCAGTGCTCCAGTGGTCTTCAGGCCATTGTTGACATTGCCAATGCTATCAAGTCCGGCATGATTGAAGTTGGTATTGGTGCTGGTGTGGAGAGCATGTCCTCTCAGTATGGGTAAGTGGATGATATGTCCATTGGTCCAGTCCTTCAATATATTGACAATGTTAGTCCTGGTGCTGTCACCGAATTCTCTGACCTCCTTGAGAACCACCAAGAGTCTGCCAACTGCAAGGTCCCCATGGGTGTTCTGTCGGAGAACATGGCCAAGGATCGTGGCGTCACTCGTGCTGCCCAAGATGCTTTCGCCGCCTCGTCCTACCAGAAGGCTGTTAAGGCTCAGAAGGCTGGTCTTTTCGACGAGGAGATCTATCCTCTTCAGGTCAAGTGGACCGACCCCAAGTCTGGTGAGGAGAAGACCATTACCGTCAAGGCCGATGATGGCATCCGTGACGGCATCACCGCTGAATCCCTGGGCAAGATTCGCCCAGCTTTCGCTAAGGATGGCTCCATTCATGCCGGCAATGCCTCCCAGATCTCTGACGGTGCCGCTGCCGTTTTGCTGATGAAGCGTTCCACTGCTGAGCGTCTCGGCCAGAAGATCATCGGCAAGTACGTCTCCGCTAGCGTTGTAGGTGTTAAGCCCCTGCTCATGGGTATCGGCCCCTGGAAGGCCATCCCCGTGGCCCTTGAGAAGGCTGGCATCACCAAGGATGACGTTGACATCTACGAGATCAACGAGGCTTTTGCCTCTCAGTGCGTGTGGTGTGTCAATGAGCTTGGACTGCCTCTAGAGAAGATCAACCCTAAGGGAGGTGCCATTGCATTCGGACATCCTCTTGGCTGCACCGGTTCTCGCCAGATCAGCACCCTGCTGACCGAGCTTAAGCGCACTGACAAGAAGATTGGTGTCACTAGCATGTGTGTTGGTACTGGTATGGGCATGGCTGCCGTTTGGGTTCGCGAATAAATGAGCTGGCTCTAAAATTGTCTTTGTGTTTCACTTTTCTTCGATTCTCTTCCTGTACAGCGATTTTATATACGCATGACGATTTTGATTTGTACACATATTTCCCAGAATACCAAGCATGAGGATTGAGTTTCGGGTTGGTTAATAGATCGTGGTTCAACTATGAAAACAAGCACCATTGCTCTCCATAATCTCGTGTAGACGCAGACATTACCGGGCAACCCCCTACCAGGACAGAGTGATCTACTATATTTTCGTTCTAAATTTCTTGAAGGCATCAAAAACGTTCGACCCCTGGCTCACAGCCTCCTTGACTTGATCATCCATCGCAACCAATTTAGGCATCAGATCGAGCACTTGATCAAGAAGCTCGCGTGGAATAGCAACCACACCTTCCAACGGATCACAGAAGATGATATCGCCCTGAGCGCAAAGAGATGCTCAGCCATGGTTCAACAGCAGCAACAGCTTAAAGAAGAAGAAAGACATACCGGAGACACCGTCACCCCACCAAGAGAAACAGGCACATTCCGAGCGCCCGGTTTGGCCTCCGCAGCGGTTCCAACCGTCGAAGTAGCACGAGCCCAGACCTAACCGACCCCAGTCAGAGCCCAGGGCACAAAACGCAACAAGAGGATGAAACTTACCGGGAGCCGACACTCCCTGATCTCACTGAGGTCACGCACGCGCCCGTTCACCAAGGCCCCCTTGACCCCGAGATACTTCATCCGGACCGCCATGATCCCACCCAGGACGGCGCAGTGCTGTCCCTCGGGCTGCTCGATCACAGCTACAGTTCCCGGCTCGGCAAAGTCGACCCAGTGCGTCCCGGCGGGGAAGCCATGGGCCTCTACCGACTCGGTCGCCGGCACGGGGTCTGATTTGGGGATGAACTTGAATGTTGAAGCGGGGGCGATAACCTTGGGGGCGTTTTCATTTCGCCCGATGGTTGGCGAGAAGGGCACTTGCGATGCTGCTGTTAATCAGGGCGTTTCGGTGGGAGTAACTAAGTATCGGCTCACCGAAATCAGCTATATGGCCAGCACGAGCTGTGGTTCCCTCGGGTAGTTTTTGTAGTTTGAGTAGCGCGTCTGATACCTGGGTTGGGTTGTTGTTAATGGGGTTGTTTTTTTTTTTTTTTTTTTTTTTTTTTTTGTTCTGAATAATTTTTTTACTTTCTGACGAGAGTAGGATGGTTGCTTACCCCGTGTACGGTTTTTTCTTTTTTTTTTTTTTTTCGGAATCGTTGTACTAGTTGTGTCATACATCACATGCAGAGTAGTTCCGCAGAACGTCCAGCTTTTGTTCGATTGATGTTGACATGGTACGTTTGACAGTTGGGATAGTGAGTGGGGCGATTCCTCTACAGGGGATTCGGGAAGCGGTCGTCGTCAGGTGGGGGAGTGTCCTGGAGAGGAATCTGGGGATGGACTCCATTCGATGTTGAGATATATATAGTTAGAGGTGCTACTAGGGTTTCGGTTGATCGGAGCTTATAGGAAGGCGAGATTGGCGCTTATACGTCAATGGATTAATGGTATTGTTATGAAAAACCATGATTAATAAGCATATTTATACCATATTTATCTATATATTATGCAGAAATGGGTTTACACAGGTTCGGGTTGGGGAGATGGAGTACGAAATATCTGTGGGGTAGAGGCGTGGCCGCGATGCCTTAGGCAGAACATCCCATGATATAGGGCATTATTTCACCTGACCTTTACTAATCTTCCTCGCCATGTTTATCATCATGATATTGGTGACCATGATGATGATCATGATGATAATGACCAAAGCTCCAATCACTCGAATACAACCGATGTTTCCGTTTACCCCAACCCACATCAATGCTAAAATGTCCTGTATGCCCGTGGAACGACCGGTCGTTATCATTTTCGCCATCCTGCACGCTGCTGACTATCTCCCAATCCGCATCGCTATTATCATGGACGTTCGCTTGTCCGGTGGCATTGGGATTGGTGCAACTGTTATTTTTGGTAGAATCATCGGACCCACATTGTAGACTGATGGATTTATCACCTATGAATATCACGGGTTAGTTGTGCATCTTGGAGGGACATAGAAAAAGAGACTTGGTTTATAGGAAAAGTACCGTCTGAGGCTTCCTGTTTTGCCGGTCCTGTCTGACCACTATCTATCTTGACTTCTCGAGACTTGCAGTTCTGATTCTGAAGAGTAGACATGTTCGATAGTAGGGAGGGCCCAAGCGGAGTAAATTATGGAGTTAAGATGCTGCTTGAGAGCGTTCGGTTGGGCGGGCTATAAAGGCAGGCCAGAAATGAACATGCCTACAGGTAAGCCTATCAAGAATCACACAGATAGGCCGTGTGCTGGTGGATATATTAATTCATACAAGGAACCGCGTCCTTCGAGCGAGGAAACCGGTTTTTAGTTTTGTATTGCCGATCCATGTCAATCATGTACAAAAGTCCGGGGTACAACTTGCTAGACTAGAGGTGATTATATCTAAATAGAAAATGGCAACTGAAATAGTCTAAGTAGGTAATGGAGAGTGTGTCCATACGATTATATTCCTGGCTGTTCCTGAACTGGTGATATTAAGTGCATACCAGTAGAATAGACTGGACATGTTCTCAATATTTATGTGTAAAAGGAATCTATCGCTGTTATGATTTTGCTCCCATAGTTCACTACCGCTGTCCCAATAGCCCGACTAGTTCCCTACGCTCGACAGGCGTCTTTGGGTTCTCGTACCATCTACTCTTAAGTAATGCTCGGACGTCCATTCTGAAGTGTTGATTATACTACAGTCACCACCATTGCAGTATTCCAATCACTCGCAAATAGCCCGCAAACACAAACGGCAACATCAACACCTACGCAATCCATGCATGGGACCCTTGAACGTACTGAGTTTTCTTCCAATCTACTGATTTTCTAGTCTATTGATCTCTGCGGCACACCCTGGGGCTTGTCCAATCGTAAAAAAGCAGAGCATTGTGTGCTCCGCTATCATCCGAGGCTTCAGTCGTGGGTGAATCTCGTGACTGATGGATTTATACAAAATGACCGAGAATCGGGAAAACTGACATCATCGAATTTGATAGATTCAAATAAATTGGTAAAGTCTAAGGTTTCGGCCCAGGCACCTGAACTCTCGAATGAACTACCGGGAATTTCCCCGCCACGCGTCCGATTGATCCACGCATACTCGCATACTGTGCAGTAGTAGTGAGAGATGCTTGGAAGCCCAATTTAAGCATAATTAGTTATAATAGACATTTCCTAAGGGCCCACGAGATCTCGATGACCAATGTGTGACTAAAGCTCTTCGTATTGCCAACCAACCAACCGAATTAGTTTGGTAATAATACTATTAATAAAGTGGTCAATGCCGTGGTTCCAAGCCGTTGCCTCCACGGAATTATTAGCACTGCCGATAACCCCAGAATAAACGAATAGAATACGTAGCACAATTCAGATCAATTGCTGAGAGTATCATCCCCGCGAACCCCCCCCCCCTTCTCTTTAGTCCCTGTATCCTCAAATCTTATAGAACTTTACCCATATATACCCATCATGGCTTCCCCACCCCAGACGTACAACCCCGAACAACTGGAACTCTACCTGGAGCGAATCGGGTATGCCAACTCGGTCAACCCCACGCCAGACAGCACTACGGGTCGGCTGCAACATGTCCTGCAATCAAGTGAGCAGGATCGCCTGGCGACCTTGATTGAGCTGCAACGACGGCACTTGGCCGCCATCCCGTGGGGAAACTCGGCCTTGCATTACTCGCAGCACCGGTCCATTTCTGTTCACCCCGCGTGTATATTTGATAAATTGGTCGTGCGACGTCTGGACGGGTATTGTATGGAAAATACCAACTTGTTCTATATGGTGCTACGGTCCCTGGGATACTCGGTTTATCCAACTGGTGGACGGGTGAGCACCGCCGTGGCCGGCGGGAACCAGACTCCCGGTAGTGAGTTGTATATGAGTTTGTGAGTGAAAGCGGGCCATGGGACATGAAAGAACACCGCTAAATGAGCTATACAGGGGACATATGGTTCTTATTGTAACTATCGACGGTCAAAGATACATGGTAACTTCTACTTCCCGACTGAGTACATGTCGACCATCTCTGATGCGGAAATGAACAGGTTGACGTCGGGTTCGGCAACTTTGGTCCTACAAGTCCACTGCCGCTCAAAGAAGATGGCGCCATCGCTGTATGCATGGCGCCGGCTGAGATGCGTCTAGTCAAAGATACGCCCATTGAATTCACCGATAGAAGTCAGAAGCTCTGGATTTACCAGATCAGACACAACCCGGAAAGCAACTGGATACCGCAGTACTCGTTTTCCGAGGTGGAGTTTCTACCGCAGGATTTTGCCACTATGAACTACTCTACTAGTCACCGGCCGACTAGCTGGTTCGTGCAGGCTTTGGTGTGCACACGGGTCATCTTGGACGAGACAGGAAATGAGCCGATCGGCATCTATATCCTGGCCGGCAAGGAAGTGAAGAAGAGACTCCGTGGGGAGACAGAGACGCTGGCGACTTTCGAAAAAGAAGAGGATAGGGTCAACGCTCTGGCTAAGTGGTTTGATATGCACTTCCTCGAACACGAGATTGAGGGGGTTCGGGGCTTAGTATCTCAGATTAAATAGAAGCTAGATAGTCCAAATTAGAATTTTGGGGTTCGCGACTACCCTGCCGCTTTTTGCTGGCCTGGTAATATGATACAAGAAGGCTTCTTCTAATCATTGCATGGTATTTATTGAAAAGTGGCAGGCGAGCAAATAGGCAATATAAATGACATAGGTTGTGACAAGTCGGAGTGGCTTAGAAGATCCGTTTTTCCAGCTGTTTGATTTATTAGATCTCTCTCCGACACGTTGAATGAGACTCGGGCATGCATCATACCTTCCATGGGTTGCTAAGCTCGAATCCCTTCGGGGCTTCTGCGTTGCCTGATTGGCCTCTCAAGGATCCTGTGATTCTCAAATCTCTCTCCATCACTACCGGATAGTTAATCAGTCGTTAGCATTCCGTCTATTCGTCCGCTGAACGGGGAGGGTAATCGTATATCATTCAATTGTCAATTGCTGGGTAAGTCACATACTTTGCTGAGCGGGTGTTAGCCGACCGGGTTCGATCACATCCTATGACACTGGGAGATACTTACTCTGTCCCACAGATCCCGGTTCCAGCGGGCCTTCTTTCCATCATTCCCGAGCCACTTGACAGCAGTAAGACCAGCGCCGGTCAGGCCAAACATCTGTTATAGCATCATCAGTAGGCCGATCGAAGTGTCGGAGAAAACGCTTGACGTACGCCGACGATGATCCCATAGGGGATCAGAGCCTCAAAAGGAACACCCATTCTGTGCGATTGAGATAACAAACAAGGCGAGAGCTAAGAGAGGAATGCGGATTGACACGCCAACAAAAGCGGAGGGGAAGTCGTCGTTTCTTGTGGCCGCGGGAATCCGCCGACGTCGAGGTCTGGAGGTTGGCCTAAAGCGGATTAGCGTGGGACCGGGGGGTCCAGCCGGCTGAGTCAGCCGCATCCATCAACCTCACGGGCTGGAGAAGGGGCGAGAGGCCGCAGCTGAGTGCTCTGGATGCTGGATAGGCCCTCGGACGGTGTATCCGCTGCTGATCTACGCGTTTGGCTCTGCTCTACTTGACGTCTCTGACCTGCTGGTCTGTGCGGTATGGTTCCCATTGTGTCCTTCTACGCGCTGTCTGTCCTTATCGGAGTCGTCCGTTCAGCTCCTTAACTGACTGTCGCTTCGGCTGCGCTGTGTTCAGGGGTTATCGCTTGCGCTGCCATATAGATACTCTTAAGCTCGCTTTTTATTTGGATCATCTGTATCCAAGGTCGTTCGTTTCTGTTCCCGATGCCTATTACGTGCAGCGCCAGATGATTGTCTACTCCTGCGGCGAATGAATAGCCTCAACCTCCAGGCTATCTTTATTCACGAACCCTCTTACTGGAGACAAGCAGGAGCTGCTCAAACTGGCGACCACAGTGACATACACCATGGCGGCAACTGCGCCGCCGGCTGACGATGACACCGAAATGAGGCCTCCCCCGGATCTGGTTGACAGCGACCAGGATGCGGAGGGAGAGGAGGAGACGGATTTATATCAGATGGATCAACAACTCCAGGATGCTGTACATAGGGCATACTCGGGAGAGATTGCAGAAGAAAGCAACAGTGCTAGCCGCGAGGATGATAAAGATGCGGACGGGGAGCCAGATTCTGATTTGGACTTCAACGGCGAAAATGAAGAGACAGAACCGGTGGGAGCTGTGAAGTTACCGAAAGGGAAACCTTCTTTGGATAACGAGGATGCCGCCGACGCCGAGGGTGATGCAGCTTTCGAGAACCAAAGTGACAGCGACCAAGACGCGTCCGGCTCTAGTTCAAGTAGCCAGGAATCTGATGAGGAGGAGGATGACGATGAAGAGTGGGATGGTGAGAGTAATGATCATGATGATGCGGAAGTGGACAACAACACGGTGCGCGGTAACTGCATGTGAGTTACCCTCTATTTAATTATTTCCGCTTCCTCCCTATCCCGTGCCTGATATTACTTGTCAGATTGATATGCTAACAAAATTCATAGATTTTGTGGACAAGATGAAGACCACGATCCGAGTGAAGACTTTGAGGAGTATTTGACATGCACAGTTTGTGGCGATCACTGTACGTGGAGTTGCGGCCCCGTAAAACCATGGCGTTAGCCACCCCCAAAACTTTCGGCGATCGTTACTGACTTGGCGACCCAACAGCTCACCGGCAATGTGCCCGCGAACAAAGTGCATTAAGTGATGTCGAAGGTATGTCGAGTGTTTTAATTTAATGGGTTTGATAGACATTGGGACTGACCCAGTCTAGATGCCAACACTTGGAGATGTCCTACATGCGTTCGGGAAAAGCTGGAGCCAAACTCTGATGGAAATGGTTCCCATCGAAGGCTCGGCCCGAAGAACATGCGAAAAGAGCTCTTGCCAGCACATACCGGCGAAGAGGGCTCTGGCTTTCACTCGATTTTCAATACTGTAGATATTGATGATGATAACTTATTGAACAGCTCGCGATCGCTACGAAAAAGGAAAACCTTGTCAGCGGATGTACAGGAGCATACACCTGTGCTTCGAAAACGGCAGAGACAGACATCCTTACGGTCCGAGCGGGCTGAGTCGGGAGACCATTTGGGCGAAGCCTCAGACGCCCTGTCTCCAGTACGGACTCGCTCTCGCCGTGTGCGGGGAGGGGAAAAGGAAAATTGCCGCGTGGTATTGAGGCAGTTCGGAAGGCTTGTGTTAGCTTTTCGACTCCACGAGACCAAGCTGTCTAAAATCCTTAGTTCTCGCAGTCGGTCACAGCACAGGGGTCGAAGAACCCCTAAGCCACCCCCGGTGGCACATGGACCCCCAGCACATTTTGCTCCTATTATACCCGTGTCATACATGTCCCCTTTCTATTCTTTCAACGATCGCGAGATGGACGAATCTAAATCAAAACCGTACGGTGGCATTCTGTCAGAAGCAGACGCAGACACCACCAAGACTCTTCCGATGCAGCCCGACCGTGAGAGGTTCGAGGTAGCGCGACAAAAGGCTGAAGAAGAATGGCAAAGACGTGTCATGGAAGCCGAGAGCGGCGGAGAGCCTGTACAGCATGCGGCACAGAAGGTCTCGGGACCACCGTCCAGGATCAAGTACATCAACTTTGGTGGCTATGAGATTGAGACCTGGTACGCAGCGCCTTATCCAGAAGAATACAGCCGCAACCGTGTTCTTTACATCTGTGAGTTTTGCTTAAAGTACATGAACTCGGACTATGTCGCGTGGCGCCACAAGCTTAAGTGTCCGGCAAAGCATCCGCCCGGAGATGAAATCTACCGTGACGGTTCGATTTCGATCTTCGAAGTTGACGGAAGAAAGAACCCGGTATACTGTCAGAATCTCTGCCTGCTCGCAAAACTGTTTCTCGGGTCAAAGACTCTATACTACGACGTTGAGCCGTTTCTCTTCTACATCATGACCGAATTTGACGACTTGGGCTGCCATTTTGTTGGCTATTTTAGCAAAGAAAAACGGCCCAGCTCCGCGAATAACGTTTCCTGTATCCTTACTCTACCCATTCATCAGCGAAAAGGCTATGGTAACCTTCTCATTGACTTCTCATACCTACTCACGCGCATCGAAGGGAAAACCGGGTCGCCCGAGAAGCCGCTTTCGGATATGGGGTTAGTATCTTATCGGAACTACTGGAGGCTTATTCTGTCATACCAGCTTCATAAACAGAAGGCGCCACTTAGTATCGTGGAGCTTTCAGAGCGGACAGGCATGACAGCAGACGACATTGTTTCAGGCCTTGAAGCTTTGCGCGCACTTGTCAGAGATCCAGTGACGAAAACTTATGCATTACGACTTGACTACAAATACTTCGAAGAATGCATACAGAGTTGGGAAAGTAAAGGCTATGTTCAGCTCAATCCCGATGCTCTTGTGTGGACGCCCTACATAATGGGTCGAAGCAACCAGTCGCAGTTCGATAGGGCTCCGATACATGCAGTTGCCCCACGGGAAGGCCTGGAAGAAGAAGAGGTCGAGGACATAAAGGATTCTGGAAACGAGGAAGAGCAACAACTTTCAGAAAATTCGGGCAAAGTCAATGGAGATGATAACCCTCAACCGGCCATAAATGGTGTTGCACAAGCTGTGTCCGGGGGACTTTCTGCTGAACCTGCCGGGCCTCCTTCGACTGAACTTTTGACTAATGGTATCGGCCTACATCGCACAGAACCAGCCGCGGACTCTAACCTCACAGAGTCAAACCCAGTCCAAGATATACCAGCCTGGCGATTTGAGGTTTACCCTCCTGTGCAGGCGCCTGTTGTCAAACGACGCCCAGGTCGGCCCTTTGGCAGCAAGACCACTTACAACAAGGTAGCTGTCACTCCATCAACTGCTCGCACTAGTGGTCGTAACACACCTAGAAGATCATCTGCACTAGTCTCTATGACCCCTACTGCAAATGCATCTAGCGTCCGGCGCGGCCGAAGTGCAAGGATACTAGACTCTCCTGCAGTTGATTCAACTGGTACTGAGATTAACGGTGTCGAGAATGACGACCAGCTGCCTGATCATGAGGTTACCAAGGGTAGGGAACAAGACCCAGCTCAGCCTGATGGATTATCGGAGACAGATGCCCAAGCTACAGACCAGGACGGGCCGAGTCAGCTGAATGGTATCAACAGGGTGGAAACCGTGGACACAGAGCTTCATGTTACAGAACAAGTGACGCCTACCAAAGATGTAAGTGCTGAAAGTACAGCCAAACTTACCAGATCCATGAACCGAAAGGCGGTGGTAGAAAAGTTCGAGTTCGTCATTCCGGCAGAAGAGCATGGTACTACGAACCATAATGCGGTGGTGGATGAGCATACAGATGGGCCTAACGGGGTGGATAAAGATGGTGATGCGATCATGGAGGCATGATTCCTGAAGAAACCTGGAAGAATGCCTTCAACGGCGAAGCATTTAAACGAGGCGTTATCTTGCGGCTTTGCAGGGGACATTTTTGTTTTCAATTTCTATCCCTCGAAGGGATAATTTTCATGACTTGGCACTTTTATCTTTCTGTTTGCGCTGTTTCTACAAAGCAAGGAGTGGGCAAGGAATTTGGAGTTCTGGCTATCATTCGATGCACTGTTATCACGAATTGCGCTCTGATTCTCCGACCTGTGGGTTCCCTCAGCGATTGTCTGCTTCCGTTGTCTTCGTTCTTGTCATGAGTGAAAATGGTTGTTTTTTTCTTCTTCTTTTTCACCTTACGGTCTTGGTCTAGAGGACTTGCTCTCTTCTTTCTCTCCCTTTTCAATTCTCCTTTTCACCTAATGTAATCCAGGACTGAATTGTGATGTCGGTGCATACACGTCCCCGATTGCACACCATTGTATTAAGCATGACAAATATCCACTTTGCGAGCATAGTATAGGGGAAAAGAGCATATGGAAGAGCCGCGTTCATCATTATATTTTTCTTTTCTTTTCTTTTTTTTTTTTTTTGCTGCCTAATGTCTCATAACCCTTGCACTTACGTAGCAACATGATCCTCTTGAAACCTTAAAGACACCTCATCGACTCAGCCATAGGTCATGTTTACAGATGCGCGATAAACAGAATCCGAACCCCAGACATGGTTTTGCTGACACATTTAGGTTTCAGTTGGGCACGTGAGTTAAGACCAAAAAAAAGAAATGTAATGGTGATGCAGAGGAGTCAGCACCTCCCTTCGTTTTGCTTTTTCCCATTTCACCAAAAGTATTACATATTTAGTCGATGGTGTGCGGATGTCCTTGCGTCTTCATGAACTGCAATCAGCGTCTGCTGACGGTGTCTTCCTGGTTCGATGAGTGGGTGCTAAGTGGTTGTGGATGTATCAATTTCCCTAGTGATGCATCTCATCGTCACAGTCGGGATTACTACTACGGACGAGACAGCATACTAGTGGATGAGGAGTGGAGGATCACATCCATGCTGGATTACGTTATCAGTTAGGTTGCATTCTCTATTAGATGGGGGAAAGGCTGGAACGAACGAGATCGACTAGCCGCAG